CACTGCTGGAAAAAATCAGCTGATTTGTCAGCTGATTAATCAGCTGATTTCTGATGCCAAATCATCAGCTGATTTTTCGCACTTTAAAGTTTTACCAATGACATAATAATATTCCATTAAAAAGTTTAAGCAAACAACTCAGAAGAAAAAGTAACTGTCAGAGCCAACAAAAAATGAGAACAAGAGATCGCGATAAATAACAAAGTTCATGCTGAGCCAAAATATCATAAGTCCTACACAAGTGAAAAAATACAAGTCCTAATTGAGCAAAAACTTACTTTCGGAATTTTAAATTCGTGATATACAAACAATTTTAAAATGATAAAGGTATCTCAAAATTTCATCTTTTTAAAACTCATAAAAAAAAAAAGTCCCACTGCACCGAAAAACTACAAGTCCCATTGCAGCGAAAAAATACAAGTCCTGACGGGCAAAAACTCAATTAAAATTTCGCAATTCGTGCATAGACATAAACATAAAAATATTCGAGATATCTTGAAATTTGCGAAATTATAATTGAGTTTTTGCCCGTCAGCACTTGTATTTTTCTGCCGGAATGGGACTTGTATTTTTGCTGTAGCGAAACTTTTTTTTTAATGAAAAGAAAAAAAAAAAATTGAATTTCAAGATATTTTGAATATTTTTATGTTTATTATGATGCACGAATTTCGAATTTTTAAATTGAGTTTTTGCCCGTCAGGACTTGTATTTTTCCGCCGGAATGGGACTTGTATTTTTGCTGTAGCGAAACTTTTTTTTTTTTGAAAAGAAAAAAAAAAATTGAATTTCAACATATCTTGAATATTTTTATGTTTATTATGATGCACGAATTTCGAATTTTTAAATTAAGTTTTTGCCCGTCAGGACTTGTATTTTTTCGCTGCAATGGGACTTGTATTTTTTCGGTGCAGTGGGACTTATGTTTTTCATGAGTTTTAAAAAGATGAAATTTTGAGATACCTTTATCATTTTAAAATTGTTTGTATATCACGAATTTAAAATTCCGAAAGTAAGTTTTTGCTCAATTAGGACTTGTATTTTTTCACTTGTGTAGGACTTATGATATTTTGGCTCAGCATGAACTTTGTTATTTATCGCAATCTCTTGTCCTCATTTTTTGTTGGCTCTGACAGTTACTTTTTCTTCTGAGTTGTTTGCTAAAACTTTTTAATGGAATATTATTATGTCATTGATAAAACTTTAAAGTGCAAAAAATCAGCTGATGATTTGGCATCAGAAATCAGCTGATTAATCAGCTGACAAAGCAGCTGATTTTTTCCAGCAGTGTTACTGGTCTCTTTAATTATTTATGATTAATGAAATATAATAACGCAAGCCTCTATCTTTATACAATCTGGGCGCCTAGTGGTCGCTTTGAATATTTGCAATATATAGAATAATGTTATCGCTTTTCCCCACATGACCTGGGAGGCTTGCATTATTTAATTGATATAAAATAATTATAGTGACCAGCAAATACTTCTTGTTGTATGGGGATGGATGCTCGCGTTTTTATTTTATTAATCATAAATAATTAGAACGACCCGTAAGTGCTCTGAATTGTGTGAGGATAGGCATTTGCATTATTATTTCATTAATTATAAATAATGAAAGCAACCTGTAAGTTCTTTGGGTCGTGTTGGGTTTGGTGCTTGCTTGGGTAATCAAAAATTTTATTAGTCATTTAAACTTATGAGGCTGCTTGTTTGCCTATTGGGTTATGGGGTTAAGTAGCTTGGGATCGGTTTATTAAGTTATTGTGCATGAAATTGTGTTGAGTTATCCGGAGATTCGCGTCTTGCAATATACAGCCAACTTGAATTTTCCGTAAGTTTGCCAGTCACATTTGGGGAGAACTACTGGCCTTCTTCCGCCTCCCATTCAGCAGTTGCATTTTTCTTACTAGGTTCTGTAGCTATATATATGAGATCTAGTGATAAAAATTCAAAATCATATCCTCCTAACCTAACACTGAGAGTAACAGTAGCGCAAAGACAGATAGAGTAAAATTACATAAATTTTGATGATTACCCAACTGTACAGAAAGAGAATTTTGGTGTTCATTGCAACTTAGACAATTTTCGAAATAATCTGAATAAATCGTACCTGCAGGTTAACTTTGTAAGGAGCTGAAGTAAACCGAGGTCTGCCTTATTACGACGGCACTTGTCAATTTGCTAACTCCATCACTTTCAAATTCTGTAACATCGCACACATGCAGACTACTTTCAACCAAAACTGTTTACCTTTTTTTATGGCTTTATAGTTAGAACAAATCGAGTGTGTGATATTCCTAAATGGGGCCTGTTTTTATGATTACATTCATTATTAGATGAATAAATATTCTAATTTTTTGCTAATTATTTGATTATCACTAAAAGTGTGCATCGGTGTATGCTATTGACGCATCATGTGGGTACCCACGGTTGCATGATTTTAACACCAAGAGTGGCGCTGCATGACACGCACCTCACCTGGCCAATATGTAAGCTTCTTGCTTAAGCTATTATTATGTAAGTACATCATTATATTGGATATTACATTATTACTATCGCCAGTATCGCCGTCTCGACTGTATTAAAATGTGCACTGTGTATATGGCGATATATATGTATTCTTACTAAAGCCAATAAATCTATACTTAGAGCTAAGGTGGCAGAGTTTGAGCCGCAGCGTTGGGTTAGGCGGATTCAATATCGGAACTTTTTCCCTAGATCGTGTATAAAGCTATGCGATCTAGGGAGAATGTTCCGTCGAGCAGACAGCACAGCTGCAGTGAAGGGGCATTGCCAAAGACACGCGGAAATTCAAAATTGTAATATTAACAACACAAGTGCCTATCACCCAATGACCTGGGGCGCTTATTGGCAACTCAGTTAAATGAATAATTATTAATAAATAACACAAGCTCCTATCACTCAGTGACTTGGAGCGCTTACTGTCAACTCTGTTAAATAAATAATTATTAGTAACACAAGCACCTTCCATCAAATGACCCTGGGTGCTGACTGGCCACTCTGTTAAATAAATACTTATTAATAACACAAGCACCTATCACCGTATAACCTAGGGCGCTAATTGCAAATCTAGTAAATAAATAATTATTAATAAATATGTGAAGCACCTTTTTCTTGATGAGCCAGGACACTTATTTGCAACACTATAGAATAATAAAAAGTTGTTCGATAACATATGTAAATATATCACAATTTTGATTGCTTATCTATTACGACAAAGATCTTTTTAAAAGGCGCTCTTGTAATTCCTTGATAATTTATTATTTAATAGTAGCCAGTAAGTATATCCTGGGTCATTAGGTGAAAGGCGCTTGTGTTAATAATAATTATTTATTTAACAGAGTGGCCAGTAAGCTTCCCAGGTCATCAGGTGATAGGCGCTTGTGTTAATAATAATTATTTATTTAACAGAGTGGNCCAGTAAGCGCCCCAGGTCATTAGGTGATAGGTGCTTGTGTTATTTATTAATAATTATTTTTATAAAAGAGTGGCCAGTAAGCACCCCGAGTCATTGGGTGATAGGTGCTTGTGGTATTAGTATTACAATTTTGAATTTCCGCGTGTCTTTGGCAATGCCCCTTCATTGCTGTGCTGTCTGCTCGACGGAACATTCTCCCTTGATCGTATAGCTATATATACGATCTAGGGAAAAAGTTCTGATATTGAATCCGCCTAACCCAACCCCTCAAACTTTGAGGCCAAACATGGCAAACATTCTCATGGTATGGATTAAATTGCACATTTTATATTTTTAAATAACTTGTTGTTTAAAAAAGAAATGTCAAAAGTTATTTAGGATTATAACTATTAAAACGTTTGTTAACTTTTGTGAAAGTTGCGGCAGTGTTTTTTTTTTACACATTTTAGGCTCAGCTCTTAGTTAAGAAGACTGTGGAATCTCAGATCCTTATATTCCTTGTTTAGATTTGGTGAAAGGGAGTGAGACAGAAATATTACGGTTAATGCAGTAGACAGTTTGAGATAATAGTGAAGTATATGCGCTGATTGTTGGTTTATTTATGATTGCTGGGTTGATTAGCTTGAGTGCTTGTTAAGTATACAAGTAGAAATTACGGGTTTCCCATTGTAAATTCGCAGTGCCCTGCGCTGTTACGTTTTTTTTTTACTCTTGTGACTTAGTAGTAATTATAATGATTGCAGTGATGATATGAACGTTCCCGATTTTTGTTATCAATTATCAGAGTTTTTTTAACAAACTGTTATTGTAGTTACTATTCTTTAAATACCTGCTCGTGTACTTACCATTATATAAGTCATATTTGCATTTTCTACTGTATATCTTGCTTTGTTGATATGACAGATACTTTTTACAATCCGTTTGTATATTAATGAATTGGCCTTAGCTTACTCCAATTATTGAAAAATTTTTCTGAAATCGCCGACTTACATTTTATTTTGGTTTTCTGTAGTGTTTTATCTTTCCTACCAATTGATTATTTTGTAAAAAATTTCTGTAGAACCTTTTTCATGCCAATTAAGCTTAGCGAATTATGAATTTTTATGATTTGATTCCTGAGTTGTTTGGTTACCCTATCACAGTCATAAGTAAATTGGTAAAAAATTTTCTCTTTTTTAAATACTTGAATTGTTATTCCAAATTTAATACTACAGGTGTTTTTTGATATAATGAATTGCCTTTACACATAGATATAATTAGATTTTAAGTATTACTTACTCATTAGTGGTGAATATTACATTCTTCTGGTAATGTATTAATATTACAGATTTTGAGCTTGCCCAATTGGTGCAGGTAAAAAGACAAAGAAATATGAGCTATAGCTACTATTACCAAAGAAAGAAATGAAGCGTCAGCGTAAGAAAGAAAAATTAGCCAGTGAAGTCTACATAAAGAAACCCCAAGAAGACAAGAAGCAGAAGAAAATGTTGCAGCTAACTAAAAATCATCTTTTTGCTAAGGCACTTGCAAAGCCAGACATTGAAAATGTAAACGAAAGGCGAGAGAGTTCTACCAGAATGAAATTAAATAATGTAACAAAAGTAAGTGCCAGTGAAATTATACCCACTGAGTTAAAAATATTAGAGGACAAGAAAAAAAATATGGCTGTTACATCAAACACTAGATCTGAGAGGTTCTTGTCAATCAATGTAAAGCACAAATTTAACAATACACCTAAAGAGTCATCTAAAAAATTTGCCTCTGAAAAAATTGTAGTAATACATACTGCTGTAACCAAACTTGTAAACAAGTCGAATCCGTTATACGATTCAACCTGTTCTGCTGCTGTGGTCAGGAAATAAAATTTTATAAGGGTTTTACTCTGTTCTTATCTTTTATACAACAATTTAAATAATTTATTACAATGTTCCAGGATAAACGTATTGCTTCGTCTAAAATTTATGGGCATCAAAGTGAAGAAGAACTTCATGTACCCAGTGACGTTCTTAATAAAAAAAAAAAGAAATTAGGTGTAGAAATTTGTATGACAGCAATTAATGTAGATGATGAAGAAAGAATAGGAAGTGCTAAAAGTTCTGGTAGTCATGACAGTATGAACCAAGAATTTCACCACTTCAAACCAATTAAAGCATTACCTCGTACACCGTTCAAAATTCTAGGTAAACTTTACTTAATACTGTAATAATTATACTCGCTTAACAACAGAACCAAAATATATTTAATGAACACACGATTTCAGGTGGAAAACAACTGGAGCCAAAATTAATACGAGTTATACCGTTGTTAAAAAAAATGTCAAAAGTCGTGCCAAACCCTCCAGTGCCTACTCATTCAAAAAAAGTTTTTGGTTGTGCTTTGAGTGCTTTTAAAAGTAAATAATCTCAGTTAATTAAAAAAAAAATGTATTAAGAATATTCTTAGTGTATTCTGTAATTACAGGAATTGTGGGACAGTGGGCATTGACTGATTTTCTAAGGCAGCAAGAAACAAAAAAAATTGAGCATCATAAAGTTGAAAGACTGTCGTCACGAGCCATTAAAAAGATTGAGATGAAAGAGTGCATTAAAATAGACATCAGCAACGCTTTGTCTTGTGACAGTAATGAAAACTGCACGAAAAATCCATGCAGCAAGATCGTAAATGGCACTGTATGTAACAAAAAAGATAACACAGTTTATAATAAAGCCAAGCAAACGATAAATCTCGGAAACAACAGACGGAATGGTTTGATACCCTCAGCAATAGAGAACAAAAAGACAGAACTTCGTAAGGATGTTGAAGTGGTGCAGATTGACCATGAGGACAATGACGATCATGTTAACGTTGATTTGTTAGATAACTCTGATTGGCAACATATTCCAGATCCATTAGGACCTTCTCTTAATAAGTTTGACTTGCCCTCAGAGCGTTCACGTCCCGTGTTCGAATTTGCAGCTGTAGAAAATATAGCTGAGAGAATTAAGAGGAGAAAAGCCGCCAGTATCGATAATGTCCGCAACACGGTTTATAAGGTCAGTTCAATGACATTTGGAGTCCTATACTGAATTTTCTTACTTCTTATTTTCACGCTATTAATATTGCTAGTCTTTTTTTTTTATTATATATATCTTCAAGCGATACATTTAGAGCTAGCTAAATCTACACAAGCTTCTAGGAAGAATAAGTTTCTGTTGTTATTCGTCATGAGACGCGTGGAAGAGGTTTTAGTTCCAGTTATTGCCACATGATGCTTTTTTATATTGTAGAATGGCGCTAAATTTCACGGTTTTCTTTTGAACTCATGAAATGGTAGAGGTTTGATTTTTAACTTTAGCCACTTCATTTACTTTTGTAAGGGTTCTTCGGCGGTAGTAGTCGCGTCTCATGATGTATTGATAAGTTATGCTGTATTTGTTGTTAGTGTTCGTTTCTTAGTATTACTAATATGAAACTTTCATTTTTTACGACTGACAACACTTAGTGGCGATTAAATTACGTAACAAAATGTATTTCATGCCTTTTCCGACTGTAGTTTTATTTTTATAACAACAATCACTTTTTGAAAAAAAATTTGTGACGGGGCCAAATAAGTCTATCAGATAAGACGACACGAGCAAAAAAAATCAGATAATTCGTGTATGGGTGATTCTACCGTAAGTGGCTTAAAATTACTTGAAGAATCGTTAAAAAAAAAGTTGTTTAAAAAAATTATTATTCATAGTAGTTTCATCTCAAATATCATCCACAACAAGTATCTAAAGCGATTCTACTACAAATTTTTTGAGTAAAAAAATAAACGGTCTTTTGTATGAGTCAATTTTAGTCAATTTTCGAGAAAAATACGTCTATTTATAATGCGTGCAACTAAACTGCTTGTATAGTTAAGAACGTTGCATACTTACTTATTAAAAATAATAACAGAAGTCGATGAAAATCGAATATTTGAATATTAAGAGCGTCTAGAATATACACGTTTTTTAAAAACATACGTTATAATACTAATTATTGAGAAATGTGACAATGAAAATGCAATGGTTATCACATGCTCTCAGGGAACAGCTGAAAATTTTTGATTAAAAAGTGTGATGGAAATCACACAGGACAACAAAATTTGAGCTGTAGAGAGAATGAAGTGTGAGAAACAATTATGCAAAGTACCAACTGTTGTTATAATTGATATTACGGAAATATTTGTAACAGAGTAACAAAAATAACATAAATCAAAAACATGTGGCAACGTTGCATCTACAGCCAGCAGAAGCTACATCTCGGAGCTGTAGGGTCACTGGGCGGTATTTTAAAAAAGTGAAAGGGTGTGTCTGATTCCACCTACTTTTCGAAACATATCTACCTTTCCAGTGATTTTTTGTTTAGTTTAGCTGAGAGCAGAAGCAGACAACTTTGAATGTAGTTAATATGGTTACCAGCCATCGACTTGACATCGATAACGTAGTAAGCTACTAAAAAAAAAAAAAAAAAAAGTAGGCAACGTCCTTAAAGTATTTTAACCCAAATGAAGTTAAAGATAGGATTAAACTCTATCGATTCAAAAAAAATTTCATTTCATTCAGTGCCTCTATTTAAAAGTTATAGCTGTTTAAAGAGGAGCAATAAAAATCGTTAAAAATGAGATTTCGTAGTTTTTTGCCGGAAATGTGTAATTTAAAAAAATCCCTATAACTTTCGATTAGTGGTACTAAATTCAATAAGTTTTTTTGTAATCGATAAAGCTTCGTTCCAGCAGTCATTTGATACTATTTTGGACCATCTAAAATAGTGCACTCCTTCGCTACTAGTGATGGAAGAGAAATCGATATTTATCGATGTATCTAACCAAAAAAAGCCAGTTAGACCAAATGCCGAGGCATGTGTCTCATGTTTTAGCCCAGTTATACTGTAAAAAAAGTTTCAGGAAGTTTCGATGCACGAAAGCTAGAAAAGGAGACACTTTTACCATTTTATTGCGGCTCGTAGACTTAACATACACAATTTTCCGCTTATGAAACATCTGTCCTCAATAAATAGTAGAAGAATAAAAATTTTACTTATTTGTGTAAGTAATAGAGTGCTAGGGCCAGGGGTCGACGGAAGTGACCAAAACTTTCGTACACGAAAATTGGAAATTGTATCGTTTGAAGAGAGTTTGAAGACAGCTTCAATTTGTGCGTTTGACATGTTATGATATGAGATAAGAAAAGTAACCACTAAAAAGTGTTACAAAACCCAACAGTGTGGTTTTCAAAGTCATTTCCGCTATAACCGACATTTCAGTTCGAATCGAGGGAAATTTGGTATTTGATCAAAACTCTCGTTTATAGATTTAAAATTTATGTTATTATGGCATAAAGGTGACATACGACGTCTGTACTTGACGATGTATGTGTAAGCATATGGCAGAAAAGCTTATTTTTTTTCTCGTAGGAGCTTTTAGGTGAGGAATTGAGATTGGGACGTAGGGTATGGAAGTTACATTTTGACTATATTTTCTTAGTTATTTTATTTAGGAGTCAATATATCTGCTTGAACGTTTTTTCCAAAAAAGCTTAGCACCTTCAACATAACTTCACGCAATTTGAACATTTAATTTTAGTTTCTTGTAGTGGCATGCGCTTTGGACACAAAATCAGCCATTAACGTTAAAATCCTCTATGTATATAGTTCATTGTAAAAAAACTTGGGCGATTAGAGTCATTTTGACCCCTGACGAAATAAGTCTTATCACTTTTTTTCGTTCTACCATGATTGGTATGGTAAAAACTAAGAAAAAAAAGTAGTGGTACTTCCTACGTACGTAAGCATCATTGAGTACATATAATTTTCAGATTTTTGGTGGTAACGGTAATGACACACTGTTTTAGAATTAAGATAATTTTGATGTTTTTCAGAATTTTCTTTAAGTTTATCACGCCACTTTTTTACTTGGTATTTATTTTAAGCTAATTTTATTCCTTTTTCTGTGACGTTTTTTTTTAAATTTCTTCTACCAGCTACATGTTTCACTTTTCTCGCTTTTGATTTTCTTTCTTCTTCATCAACTTCGAAATTTTTTAATTTTACGTAACTTTATATGCTTTTTCTCCAAATTAGGGGCATTCGAAATCCTTAAATCTGTAACATACGTTAAAAAATATATGTATTTAAATAATTAACAGTAAAATTCATTTTTTGGGGTTACAGTAATGACAGTTACGTTGATGATAAATTGTCTTAAAAAATAGATTCCTACACAAAATAATTATCTTAAAATGTTTTCCGCGCATTTATAACTTGTACTTACTATGTGATTGTAATAATTGATTTTATTATTATTTCAACTTCACGAAAAAAAAGACTGTCGCAAAAAAAGTTTATCAAATTTTTAACCATCTTGCAGGTTTTTAAACATAGTCCATACAATTAACGGTAGAAGACGTCAGTAGTGACCCCACTGAAGTCGAAAAAGCCATTGTACTGCAAGAATTTGCATAAAATGTTTGAAATTAACAAAGTTGAGAGACACAATTCGAGCAACAATATGTACTACGGAAAATTTTTTAAGATTTTCTTTTTCTTATACAGTTAAGTAGGTATTTAACTTAACTTCAAGATATTTCGATATAAAAAATTTAAAGAATCGAAATTTTGTCTTGATAAAGGTAGAAAATGTGGAATTCTTATCAATGACAAGTTACGATAATGACATTTTACCACTATTCGCTGTGTGCAAGTGTATTGGCGCCATCCGGTGGTACAACGGTGCGTAATTCCAGGACTTTACAGGATCCAGTTTTACTAATATACAGGGCGTTCTGATTTTGAGCCCGGAAAATTATACCACGAGATAAAGCTCATCAAAAGCTCTCGAAAAGCTTCTTACAAAATTTGGATTCGATGGATAATTAACGAGATGTTGTTGATTTAATAATCGATCAATTCCTCCAATCACAGAGCACTTAGCCCCAGGAGGCAGGGCCTAAGCATTGTGGAGGGGCGACTACGCATAGCTAATGATCCAATGATCAGTTACCGTACCAGCGCAAAATTCAAATAGCAAGGCCGAATTATTTTAACCGGAGACCTGATTTTTGAAAAATGATTACGCACGTCCACTACGCTTATTCAGTGCATATTTTTTTCTGAGTAAATTTCACAGAAAAACAATTCAATTCAAATTTTTTTGAACATGAATCGCCTGATAAAAAAAACCAGAATGTGAGAGGGTCTCATGCGATGAGTTTGAATACTCAGTCAAACTCTTGATCGTTTAACGTTGAACTACTTGGAGATAAAATTTTAATTTTTTGTATACTGTAGAAAAAGCTCATTTCACGCATTAAATTGGTCAAATTTTTTTATTTCATCAAACTTTTTAGTCTGATTTACGAAAATAAAAAAAACAAAAAATAATAAATGAAATTACGATTAAGCAAGACATGTGCGTTCATGGGGCACACCTCTCTAACGTGTAAGATGTTACTAAAAAAGGATCAGTATTTAATCCATACGAAGCTTTATCGTCTGATAAATAACAGCTACATCTAGAAACTAGAGAAAATATCACGCTTTCAGCGCGATGGCTCAGCGCGAATCAGAATGCTTATTTTTCCATCTACGTGTCGATAGGTCTTGAACCTTTTGGTCCCTGGAGTAC